GGGCCTCTTGAAAGGCATTTTGTGCGCCTCCTGGGCGCCTCTTGGGCGTCAAGGGGGCCCGCTCGGACGCGTGGTGGTGGGCTGTGGTGGTGGTGGCTGTTTTGGATGATGTGGTGGCAGGTTGCGGGTGGTGGTGGGTGGGTGGTGCGTGGTTTCTGGGGGTGGTGGTGGCAGTTGTGGTGTGGGGGTTCATGTGGTGGTGGTGGCGGCGGTGGTGGTGTGGTGGTTTGTCTTGGTGGTTGTGGTGGTGGTAGTGGTTGTGGTGCTGGGCGGTTGCGGTGGTGGTGGTGGCGGTGGTGGTGGTTGTGGTGGTGGTGGTGGTTTGCTGTGATGGTTGTTGTGGTGGTGTTTTTGGTGGCGGTGGTGGTGGTGTGGTGGTTTGTGATGGTGGTGGTGGTGGTGGCGGTGGTGGCGGTGGTGGTGGTGGTTGTGGTAGTGGTGGTGGTGGTGGTGGTTGTGGTGCTGGGTGGTGGTGGTGGTGGTGGTTTTGTGGTGGTGTGGTTGTGGTTTGTGGTGGTGGTGGTGGGTTGTGGTGGTGGTGGTTGTGGTGCTTCATGGTGGTGGTTGTGGTGTGGTGGTTTGTGGTGGTGGTGGTGGCGGTGGTGGTGGTTTTGGTGGTTTGTGGAGGTGGTGCTGGTGGTGGAGGTGGAGGTGGTGGTGGTGGTGTTGGTGTGGTGGTTTGTGGTGGTGGTGGTGGGTTGTGCTGCTGGTATTGGTGGTGGTTGTGGCGGCGGTGGTGGTGGTGTGGTAGATTGTGGTGGTGGTAGTGGTGGTGGATTGTTGTTGTGGTGGTGTTGGTGGTGGTGGTGAGTTGTGATGGTGGTGGTCGTGGTGGTGGCTGTGGTGGTGGTGGTTGTGTGGTTGGTTGGTGGTTGTGGTGGTGGGTTGTGATGGTGGTGGTAGAGGTGGTGGCGGTAGTGGTGGTGGTGGCGTGGTGGTTTGTGGTAGTGGTGGTGGGCTGTGGTGTTGGTGGTGGTGGTGCTGCTTCTGATAGCGGCGCTGGTGGTGGTGGTGGTGGGTGGTGGGTGGTGGGTGGTGGTGGTGGTGAGTGGTTGTGGTGGTGGTGGTGTGGTGGTTTTTGGTGGTGGTGGTGGATTGTGGTGATGGTTGTGGTTGTGGTGGTGGTGGTGATGGTGGTGGTAATTGCGTGGTTGTTTGTGGTGGTGGTGGTGGTGGTGGTTTTGGTGGGTTGTGGTGGGTTGTGGTGGTGGTGGTGGTGGTGGCGTTTTTGGTGGTGGTGGTGGTGGTGTTGTGGTTTGTGGTTTGTGGTGATGGTGGTGGTTGTGGTGGTGGTGGGTTCTGGTGGTTGTGGTGTGGTGATGGTGGCGGTCATGGTGGTGGTGGTGGTGTGGTTTGTGGTGGTGGTGGTGGTGTGGCCTTCGGCTTTTCCTGCCACCGTGTTTTGGCTGTGGGTCAGAGTTCTAATGGATGATGCTTCTTGAGGTCTCGTCAGAAAGGGTCTCGGGGGCGTCTGAGGACCTCAGGGCCTCTCGGTGGCTTCTGGGGGGCGAGGGCTCGATATGGCGATTTGCGTGTTTCCTTTGCGGCCTCTGGGTTCTCTCTGGTAATCGTCGCTGCGTCCTTGCCGTGATGCTGGCCGCCGCCAGCGGCGGCGCCGGCGCAGGGGGGGGGTTGGACCCCCCCCACTCACCCTTCCCCTTGGGCCCTCTCTGGTCATCGTCGCTGCAACTCTGCCGTCGGCGCTGCTGGCGGCCGACAGCGCGGGCGCCGGCGCCGGCGCCGGGGGGGGGGGTCGGGAGGCGTGAGGGGGGTAGAGGGGAGGGGTGCCCCCCTGGTTCTGATCGAAGTCCGGACGGGGCCGAATGTCGGGGGAGGGCGGAACCTCCGGTTAGAAACGCACCCTCGAATGTTCCCAACGCAAGCGTCCGTAAAACTTGCTCCCTCAGGCGTCAACATACAAGAGGAGAGGGAGAAGGCAAAGGAACAGCAGGCAAACGCCCACGTGGGGGCGGGCGGGGGGCGAGGGTGGAGGGCGAGGGGCGTCGGCGGCAGTCGGGGAGGCGTCGGGGGTCGTCGGGGGTCGTCGGGGTCGTCGTGGGTCCGCGGGTCCAGGGGCCGTCACACCAGGGCCCGCCGGGCGTCAGGCGGGGCGGGCGGGGTCGTCGGTGGGGGCGGGGGCGGGGGCGGGTAGGTGGCGGAGGAGGGGCTGCACCAGGGAAGTGCAGAGGCAGCTCACATGGCATCCGCCGTGGCGGCTGCCGTGGCCGCAGCCAGGCGCGCGGTCGTCGCGCCCGCTCGCGGCTGGAGGCCGCAGCATTGCCCGCGCAGTTTCCCTGCTCAGGGAGATTGGAAATCGCTGGGCAAGCTGGTCGGCCGCCAGCGCGGCGTCGTCCCCGGTAGCGCCTGCCGCGCGCTTGGCGAGCACTGCGAAGGCGCGTGACGCCTCGCGGCCCCCGCCGCCGCCGTGGGACCCGCATGCCATCGGTACGAACGTCAGGCCGGCCTCTGAGCATCTGCGAATTGTGTCCAGGTGCTGGCGCTTCTGCTCTTCGTGGGTCACCGCCGCGTCGCCGCCGCCCTCCGCGGCCGAAGTCGCGAGCAGGTCCACGCGGAGATCCCATTTCACGGCGAAGTCCCACGCCGCCGGCGTGTCGCGTCGCCACCGCGGAACGAAGACGTCCGCGGGGCGCCCCCCGTCGCTATTGCCGCTGGCTTCCCGGGCTGGGGGGCCCTCGCCGGGCGCGCGCGGCGGCAGCAAACCTGGGCGCTCGAGTTCTGCCCCGGCGCAGTCGGCTGCCAGCGTTTCGTGCCAGGCTTGATTCAGGATGCAATTGTGTTTTTTCGGTCGCCGCGGCACTTGCTGGTGAGCGCGTGGCTTGCGAACGCGTCCATCACCTCTCCGCACGCCAGGCTTAAGGCCTTCTCGTTGAGCAGCTGGATGTCGAAGGCGGCGTTGCAGCGCCATCTGCACCAGGCTGTGCGGGAAGTCGGTGGCACTGGTCTGGCACGAGGGCGCCTGCAGGAGGGCATCGGCGCCTGGGACCGCCACCAAGGTGAAGTGGGTCCTCGTGACTGGCGAAGCGCTTGCCAGAGTTCGTCGCGGACGCCGACGTCAATTTCTTCCGGAAGGGAGCCGCTGGTCTCCGTGCTGGGCGGGGTCGTATTCGATCCGGTCCTCTGGCAAGAATGCGTCGTCGTAGGCTGCGTAGAGGTGTCGGCAGAGTTCGGCGCCGTGGGCGCGTGAGGCCGAACAGGCGGCCGCGACATGCTTTTCGGAGGAGCGGAACCTGAGCCCGCTTCGATTGAGTTTGAGCTGCGTTTGCTCCCAAGAATCTCCTGAAGGGGAATGCCCGCTGAATTGCTCCAGGCAGGCACGGACAGCGGAACCCATGGCTTGCACGGCGCCATTGTGCGTCTTCGGTGGGGTCGCGCGCACGGAGTAGCCCAGCTTGCAGAAGGAGGCACGCAGACGAAGCAGGTGCATGGCACTCGACCGTTATCCAGGGCCCCGAGAGCTTCCAGCAAATAGGCAGCCTTGGCCACCCTGTCCAGGGTGTGTTTCTCGCGTCCCCACACAAGGCCCATCAAGAGTTCGAAACTGTTGTCTTCCCGGAGGCGATAGCTTTGCGGAAACGCGACCATGTCCACGCTGCTGTCGGCACCGCTGGGGAGCACCACCTCTCACTTGGCAGGGCTGGTGCTGAGGTCCAGGCCCGCCGCGGCCAAACGCCCCACCTGGCGGCGCAAAGGCGGGCGACAGCGGGTGCGTTTCCTGCCAGACAGCCGTCGTCCAGGAAAAAGGAAGCTGGGTCGACGGAGCCGTCGGCTGGGTCGGTTGGTTCGGCGCGCGGCTGTTCCGCGCAGCTGCAAAGCGAACGCGAAAAACAACGGGCCGAGCGGGTCCCCTTCTTGGACACCGCGTTCGGAACGCAGGTCTTCCCCCAAGAAACGCACCGTCGGGGCGCCGTAACACCAGGCCGCGAAAGGAACCAGGCAGGGGAAATCGAACCGCCCCTCCCCTGCAACTCTCCCCTGGCATCCTCGCGTCGTGAAGGAATCCAAACGGCAGATAATTGACGGTGTTCGGCTGTTGGGGGCTCTTACGGTCCCGGGACCGTCTCAAATCGGCTCAGGATGAAAAGTTGGCGCTCGGGACAAAGGGTCAGGAGGAGACAAGACACACATATACAATTTCTCGTCTATTCCCAGGAAAGTATAGGGAACTATGGGAAGTTTTGGGGGAAGACGAAAACCCAGAAAATATAGGATAACATTGGGGATCCTGGGATTTGTGTATTTTTGTGGGGTCCAGGCCTCTGGGTAGCCACGGTGCGCACCAGGGAATGACGTCAGATTTCTGGGTCTTGGGTTTCTCTGTTGCAGGGCGGCCCACTCGGGCTGGTGAAAGAGTGGTGTGCCCCCCTCCCCCCCGCCCCCGCTGTTTGCTTCTTCGCTCGGGGGGTACGGGGGGTAGGGGTAGGGGGAAGGGCGATAGGGGGTTAGGGGTCGGCGGAAGGGGTCGGGGGGAGGCTGCTTAGGGACCGGGGCATTGGGTAGAGGTCGGGGGGTGGACGGGGAGGGGGGGGGGGTCGGGGGAAGGCTTCTTGGAAGCGCCCCGTGCTTCTCAGAAGACGCGGGCCTCACCTGCAGATGCAGGGCCGGCGCCTCGAGCGGTCTCCCGCCCGGAACGATCTCCTGACGGCCCCGAGGCCCGGCCCGGCAGAGGCCCGCGTTGCCGTAAAGATTTGGCAGCCTTGGTTTAATTCGGGTCCCCCCGTGGGCGACGCAGAGAGCACAGAAGAGGGCGGGGAGGAGCGCAGCGTTGGGCGCCCAAAGGGGGTACGGAAAGAATGGGTACGACGCTCACGAACAGACGGTACCCCAAACCGACAGCGGTCGCTGTTGGGCAGGCGGCCTGCCTCAAATTGACAACGTCCGCAGCGACGCCGTCACCGAGCCCTACCTACTCAAAATGGGCAGGAAGTGCTGTCGGTCACCGTGCCCAATCTTTCCGTACCCAGCAGCAGCCGTTGCCCCGTAGGTCGCGGACCAGATCAAGCACCATTTCCAGGCGATCGACGGCCTGTACTCGCGTGTGGACGGCGTCGAACAGGCGCACAGCGATCTCCTGCAGGCTGCCGGGAGGGCCTTGGCGCCACGGCCGGGCCACAGCTGCCCACATCGAAGTATGCCCTCGAGGTTCTAGGCCCGAGGTCCGTAGTCGAAGAGCAAAGAAGTGCACAAGCATGCATGTCTCGGAGGTCCGCGCGGATCTTCTCGGATCGGCGCAGGAGCCCCCTAGCGGCGCACATGGCTCCGCCCCTGGCGCGCTCCACGCGTCGGGGGAGGGGGTCCAGCGCCGTTCCAAGAGATCCGCGGACCTCCGAAAGTTTTGTTCATTCAATCTTCTGTTGCTCTACAAATGCCAGGGGCTGTGGGGTGTGGGACGGTCTGGGAGCGCCCTCGGGTCGCCGAAGGCCTCTGGACTCCCTCGCGGACCTCCAGGGGCCTCCGAGATCTGGAGAGGCTGGAGGGCCTCCGCCGTCCCCGATGGGTAAAACCCCAGAACCCAAAACCCCACTAAGGTCAAGCAGTGTCGAAGCGTCCTGGCGTGCCTATAGGCCTACCAAACAATGTTCTAATAACCTTTTGTGGTTTCCACGAAATGCTCTTAGAACATTTCTGGCTGGGACTGCTTTGTTTTAACACATCGGGCCTATAGGACTGCCGGGCCGGGCGGTCCCTGTTCAATAAGGAGAGGAGAGGACCCGGTTCCGAGGCATTCGTGCGTTATTTTCATTTGAGTCGAAAGGAATCCAGACACGGACGGAACAGTTCCGAGATCCAGACGCCTGTTGGATTAAACAGCACCCCCATTGGGATTCTCACCAGGAGTGAGACAGGGCCAAGGCCCACGGGACTGGTGCTGCATTCGAATCGGATTACAAAAGGACTTCATGGGCGTTGATCTCTACACCGCCATGCATCCCACAATTTCCATCAAACTATGAGGGGACGAGCAACCGAAGGTGGGTACGAACACATACACAAGAGACGAAGACGGACACATATGTTGGTACAAGCAGAGAGTAGAGAGCAGATATTTTTCAGTACGTAGCAGGGAGTAGAGGTTGAAGAGTTGAGAGTATAGCGTCTAGGGTACAGAGTAGAGAACGTATCCTATGCAGGGGCGCGCGCATGATAGATGCATATCTAACAATATCACGCATGTCCCCCACTCAGGGCTCCAACCTGCACCTGACTGAACTTCTTCGGCAAATCCGCGGTCACGCCCTCCCGGGCTTCCAAAACCGCCCTGGCAGGGTCTCACGATGGTTCAAGACGCTCCCGAGACGGGCAAAAGTGTTCCAAGATGGCCTTCCGACGGCTCAAGTCACGAGCGCCCAAGAGGGCTCCCAGGAAGCCCTCGAGAGGCCAAAACCTTCAAAAAGCCAACGGGGGGTCATTGATTTGTGCCTTCTCGAGGCTCTGGCGAACCCCCAAGAGGTGCCCACGAAATTCCCAAGAGGCCACCCAATTCCCCAAGAGCTCCCAAGAGGCCCCCGAGAGGTCCCCGAGAGCCCTGAGAGGCCCCTAAGATGCCCCCAGGAGACCCCAAAACCAAAAGAGGCGCCAAGAGAACTTTCAAGACGCCTCCAAGAGGCGCCCAGGAGTCTCCCACGGGACATCCTCAGATGGCCGAGGAGGAGCAAAGCGGGAGCAGTGGGATGTCGGAGTGGGAGGAGGAGTAGGAGGACGAGGACAGAGATGTCGAATGAGGAGGCGAATGCGGAGGGGACGACTCCTTCTCTCCTCGTCCCTCCCTCCTCGGTCGTCCTTCTCTCCTCCTCCCTCTCCGGCTGAGCCTGGGCCCGCCGTGGCAAGCGCAGGATTCACCAGGGCCGACGCGCTGCCCGACACCACGGGCCTGCAGCCAGGCAGACCGCCTGAGATATCCCCACGGTCTGGGCGCCCGCGGGCCCGTGACGCAGCCCCCGGCGGTTGCCCCCCCAACGACCAGCTCGAAGCAGCGCCTCGTGTTGCGACCCAGTGTTGCGACCAGCGCCTCGCTCGAAGCAGCCCCACAACTGGCCCTGAAAGCACCGAGAGAAGCGCTGGAGGCACTGGGCACGAGCGGGCGCCGCGGCATCCCCCCTGCGCCCCCCCCCCCCTTCGGGTGCTGGAGCCAGCGCCTCGCTCGAGACATCCCCACGATCTCATCTGAAGGCACCGAAGTCCAAGCCACCAGCCAGGCAAACCGCTTGAGGTATCCCCGCAGTCTGGGCGCGAACGGGTCCCTGGAATAACCCCTGGCGGCTGCATCGAATCCAGCGCCTCGGTCGAGACGTCCTCACAAGTCAAGTGCGAGGCGAGCCTGAATGTTCTGAGTGTGAGTGGTAGGTGTGAGTGAGTCTGAGTGTGAGTGACTTCGGGTGCGTATGAGTCTGAGTGGAAGAAGTGAAACTGAGTGCGAATGCACCTGAGCTTGGGCTTATCTGGGTATGAGTGCTTGTGAGTATGAGTGAGCCATCCTGTTGAGTCTGAGTGCGCGTGAGTCTGAGTGTGAGTGAGTCTGAGTGTGAGCGAGTCTGAGTGCCGATGACTGTAAATGCAAGTGAGGAGAGGAAGGAGGGAGGAGGATGAGGGGCGACAGAGGCGTTCCAGTAACACCAAAATCCAGGCTGAGGACATAGAGAAACAATCAAACGTAACCAAATTCCTCTCATCCTTGTGTGTGTGCCTCTCTGACAGGCAGCGCAGCAACCCTTGAGTGGTTGATCAAATCAGCCACCGCCTGGAGGTGAGTTGTGCACAATGCCGACTTGCAGAATGTCGTGTAGTTGCCCCTCGTCTCCTTCTTTCCCCCCCTCCCTCCTCTCTCCTCCCCCGCTCCGCCCAATCAGTGCTCCAATTTGGAAAGTATCGAGCTTCCATCTGACCTCGAACGAGGCTACATTTGGAGGGCTCGCGTGCATGTGATGTCAGTGTCCTATGCACCTCCTGGTGTATGACTTCACTGTTGTTGTTGTTGTTGAACATTAGATTGCAGCCGCAGGACACGAACATAAAACCGATAAACCGATAAACCGATAAACTATTTCGGTTGATCGGTTTATCGGCAGATCGACCGATAAACCGATATGATTATATCGGTTTATTGGTCGATCTGCCGATAAACCGATCAACCACTAAACCGACTCATCGCATGCGTGCCCGAATCTCAGCACAGTTTATCAGTTTATCGGTTTATCAGTTTATCGGTTTATCGGTTTATCGGTTTATCAGTTTATCGGTTTATCCGAAATAGTTTATCGGTTTATCAGTTTATCGGTATATCGGATGTTTCGGTTTATCGGTTTATTGGTTGATCGGTTTATCGGCCCGGCGTTGTCGTGGTTGTCCAATGGGTAATCCTTCGAAATTCTCTCTCCTCTTCCTCCTAGTCCTCCCCTTCCTCTTCCTCCTAGTCCTCCTCCGCCTCCGCCTCCTCCTCCTCCTCCTCCTCCTCCTCCTCCTCCCTCTTCCTCCTCCCCCCTCCTCCGTTCCGATCCTCCCTCCCTCCCTCCCTCTCCTCCCTCTCCTCCCTCTCCTCCCTCCCTCCCTCACTGGCCCCGACGCCCATGGTTCTCCTAGTCCTCCCTCCCCCTCTTCCTCCTAGTCCTCCTCCGCCTCCCCTTCCTCTTCCTCCTAGTCCTCCTCCGCCTCCGCCTCCTCCTCCTCCTCCTCCCTCCTCCTCCTCCTCCTCGGATTATAATCAGGATGGCGATGATGATGATGATGATGATGATGATGATGATGATGATGATGATGATGATGATGATGATGATGATGATGATGATGATGATGATGATGATGATGATGATGATGATGATGATGATGATGATGATGATGATGATGATGATGATGATGATGATGATGATGATGATGATGATGATGATGATGATGATGATGATGATGATGATGATGATGATGATGATGATGATGATGATGATGATGATGATGATGAGATGATGGTGTTGATGAAGATGATGATTATGCTTAGTAAGAAGGTGATGATGGCGGTGGTGGTGGTGATGTGGGCGGTGGTGAGGATGATGCTGAAAAGTCGGAGGATTATAAGGCGTCTTGGGGCCGTGTTTGCCGTCTTTGGGGGCGTCGTTGGGAGACGTGAAGAAGCCACCTTCGGCCGTCCACGTGCCCTGTGAAAACCATCTTAGGCTCTCGGAGGTCCTTGACGGCCAGCTTGAGGCCCTCTTGTGCCCGTGATGCACTCTCTCCAAAATTGTTCTCGCTTCGCGTATCCCCACCAGCCCATCCAAAAACAGTCGCCAGGCGAGTTGACCCGATCAGGGATGTGTAGCATCATCTGGCCCAGCAGTGATCCACATCCGCTGTTGAGGTGGAGCAATCGGAGTTGAGAGAAGAGGAGGCATGCGGAAAAGGAGGGTGGAAGGAGCAAAAGGGAGGAAGGCGGGCAATGATGAGCAGGAGGGGGAGGAGGATGAGGAGGAGGGGGAGCCGGAGGAGGAGGATAACAAGTAGCATGCGTATGCAAATATATAGGTGGCGAAGAAAGGCACGACGACGATGACGAGCAATACGACGACGACCACGACCACGACGACGACGACGACGACGACGACGACGACGACGACGACGACGTCAACCACCAACATCCTTCGCTCTGAGAGCGTCGCGTATTGGAAGCCTCTTGGGGCCATCGCGGGGCACTCTGAGGCCCATGTTGCAAGCCTCTGGAGCCCTCATGATGCGCTCTTGGGGTCCCTCTTGGGCTCTTGGGGCGCTCTTGGGGCCCTCTTGGAAGCCTTGGGTGCCCTCTTTGGGCTATCCTGGAGGCCTCTGGGGCCCTCCTGGTGCTCTCTTGGGGCCCTCTTTGGGCGCTCTTGGGGCCCTCTTGAGGCCATATTTGATGCGTTGAAGGCCTTCTTGGGGCAATCGATCATATAAGGAGGGGGGTCCTGAAGTCACCCCCCCCCCGTCGGGACCCGAAAATGTGCCTCTTGGGGCCCTCTTGGGCCGCTCTTGGGGCGGTCTTGAGCGCTCTTGGGGCGGTATTGGGGCCCGCCTGGGCCCCTCTTGGGGCCCTCTTGGGCCATCATGGAGCCATCTTGA